AACACAACGTGGTGCGATCATCCCCCTTGCGCGGAGTGAGGCTTCTCCACCCCGCACAACATGATGTACTCGACCACCATTCTGGTTACCGCCCAAAAAAAAGAGGTAAAAAGCAAAAACGGTAACCTGGTTGCCGAGTTCACGAAGTGAATTGGCTTGTTTTACAACGTCATTACAACGCGACGAAAACCCAACCCCGATGGCAAACACCGAGGTGGGGGCTTGTTTTACAAGGTCGCATGAAGGGTGCGCTGACGGGGGGGTGGGTGTTGCATTCGTGCCCGGTGTTGCGGCAGGAAGGCGGAATATCGTTGTGTCTGTCTGTGGTGATTATAATAAAATAGCATGCTGCTGCCAGGCGCCAAGTGGTTGTCTACTGATGAAATGCACGTGGAAACGGTCATCCTGCACCTAGGCGAGGGGGTTCGCAGAGCAGTGTTTTTTGATGGCACACGACGCGATCGGAGGTGGTTGGAACGCCCAGGAAGCGGTGCTCTACGTACTACATTGCTCTACGGAGGAGCAACTACCACAGTAACCTCAGCAACTGCTCCCAACTTAACGCGCACTCACGGTTGAGGCTTGACCAGGGCGTTCTTCGCCTCCATCGCCGCCCGTCTCGCCAGGTTCTGCTGGTGCCGCTTGCCCTGGGTGTGGGCCAGGTAATTCCCCTCGTTGTTGTGCAGGGTCAGGCATAGCTTGCACTCGTACTTGCCCAGGTGGTTCCGCATGAAGTACGGGTCCTTGTTCAGGTCCACCGTCTCCTGGGCCAGCTTTCTCAGTCTCTCCCTGCGGTCCACGGCCGCCTGGCCCTCGGACATGACCCCGCCGCCCCCGAACTTGGAACCCTCTCGGTGCTGGAAGTCGATGCCGCCGAGGAGCCGCAGGGACAGCCGCACCGTGCAGCCGTGCTCGATACCATAGTCGTCGAGGCTGGCGGAGGGCGAGGCCAGGTCCTTCGCTCCGGAGGTGAGCCGCTGGAGGTGGGAGGGAACGCCCGAGAGTCCTTCCACCGCCGATCTGAGCGTCGAAACTCGGTAGTCCCGGAGGGAGCTCACGTCCACGGCGAAGTGGCCGCCGCCCAAGCCTTGGACGAAGATCTGCATGGTGCTCTTTGGCTTTATATATTCACTGCCTTGCCGTGTGCCCTCTGGGTGTGCCGCTGTGATCGAGATGGAGTGAAATATCGGGCCCGAAGACCTACTGGTAAAGCCTCTAGTAGAGGTTGCTGGCTGTCGGTGGCCTTCCTGATGGACAGGGCAGAGGGGACAGACGAGAGAGACTTGCTTGCTGGACTGCTGCAACTGGAGACGGCGCCGCATTGCGCGTTGCACATACCAGAAGCGCGGGGCATCTTTGCATTCCACGGAGCCCCCTCTCCCCCGCTCTCTCCCCCTCTCTACCTGCTCATGCCTTCTTGGGGGAAGCACAAGACCGAAGGGCAACTACAACGAAGAGAGCGAGGCGAGCGCGTTTCGAAAGGAGCCAGTTTTCGCGTTGAGAGGGACTCGGAGAGGCGAGTCGACCCGCCTCGCAAGCCAGCAGACTTACGAATCACACGAGGCCATAGGTGCGAGGCTTACAGGAGAGGGAAGGGGGGGTGATATTGTACACCTTGCATATTTTTTCGTGTTGAAGGTTTGGTATCGTCTTCTTACGGAGAGAGAGAGAGCATCCAGCAGCAATGGGAGAGAAAATTGTGACTTTTTTAGTTCTCGCCAACATGTAATTGCTCTCCTCGCTCACACAAGCACGAGCCCCTTCTCCCCCCCCTTCGCCTAACGGGTGGTTGCAAACAGCGCTGCTGGCTACGCTCGGCCCTCCCGACCCGGGTGCTGCGGGTGTACTTTCGAGCCTCGTAGATCGAAGTGCCCCCCGCAGTCAGGCTGTTGAGGCTTTTGGAGAGATAAGATTTTTGTTCGTGCTCTCCCTTGCCTCGCTATTGGGGATGCAGACTATCGTGTCATCGCTATCCACCGCAGCTCTCTGGTAACCAACCCCACTGCACACGCGCGCACGCGACGCCGTGCGAGAGAGGGACAGAAGAGCCGCCGCTGTGTCTAAGGACGTTTTTTTTCTTTTACGGGGGCGAGAAAAATGTATGTGCCTTTAGTTTGATGTGCCCCGTGACAAACAAACCATACACAGAAGACACAGACAACACAGAGGGGAAATTTTTGAGATAGAAACGAGGCTAAAGATGAAAATCTGAAATATGTACAGCACGAACGGCGCATCCATCTTCTATGCAGTTTTTTTGCGGTTTTGAACCACAGCCGGCGTGCGACATACCCTTCTCGCCACACCCTTGTTGTGATGCCCACCGTGTGGCTCTGATTGCTGTGATGCTTAAGTAGGTTGGGGGGGGAGTTGAGTCTCGGCGACTACCGGGGCTTTTTATTTCTCGGAATTTTGTTGATGTGGTGTTGATGTGGTGATGATGATGATGATGTTTGGTCCAAGAATGCCAACCATCACCAGGTCGTGCCGTCTGCGTCCTTGGGTCTGTGCTGGTCCATTCTGCGCCGTCCCTCTTTTTTTTTTATGAACCCTATGCTTCTTCCCCTTCGTCCGAAGACCGGGATGATTTGGGGTTGGCGCCGCCGCCGCCACCCTTCGCGAGACAGAGATTGGTCTGGAAGTTAACCTTGGCGCATGCTGGCCACCTGTCCCGTAGGAATAACTTCACTAAAGAAGACGGATCCGGACCTCACTCCGAAGGCAGAGGGGAATGATGGATGCTTGCTGCGGATGTAATGATCACAAGCCTCTTTTATGTCCCGTCTCCAAACAACCAAAGAATACCTTTTTTATTTTTTGCGGTTGAAGCGCAGTTTGTCTCTCGAAGCTACGAAACATCAACTAGCCAGCCCCTCCCCTCTAGCTCTGAAGCAAATCTCGCCCCCACGAGCCCCGACCCGCAACACCGCCCCCCTGGTTAACGACGTTGTAAAACAAGCCAATTCACTTCGTGAATTCGGCAACCAGGTCGCCGGGTTTTTTTTTGGCCGTAACCATAGAGTAAAATGAGGTATGAAGGGACACCTAAGCCGCTCCCACGCCAACAGCTGGTTCTCGGGTGTGAGAACGAATTCGAAGTGTATGAAAGTATCCAGCGGTAGCCTATGTCATAGGCTAGCTCTTAAAAAACAAAGAAAGAAAAAAACACACAAGTGTTGATGAGTTATGACTGTTGCAGTGTTGTACCTGAAGTTTTACCTTAAAACGGAGGATAACACCCCCGACGCCAATTAAAGGACACTTTGCATTAGTATTGATTTCTCACGTTCTGCTGCATTTCAAAACTTGTCCTTTGGCACGCACCGTGGTGATGGTAATACCACGCCATTGGGAAAGAAAGAAAAAAAATGCCAATATACGGGGACAAAAACGAGGAATCCCCTTATTTTTTGGGCCGAATTAGGCCCACTTTAGGCGTCGTGCAAAGAGGTTGGGAGCGTTTTCTTTCTCGTTTTTCGTTCAGTTTCGTGGCAAAAAACCCTAGAACAGACGTTATGCAAAGTTTTGGTGCCATCGGAGTTGGTTTCGTCTGTGTATGACATCCAGACGCTATTTTTGGCCCTTTTCTCGCCCGAAATCGAGCTAGGAAAAGAAGAAAAAGCGAAAAAAAAAGTAGGACCAAAATAGATCGATAGAACAGAAGCTCGATCTCATAACAACAACGCGCCGTACAGGCCTCTGCACCATCAGACTAAATCATCATTTCTGTTTGAGAAAACAAGATCTTAGATTGATTGTAGGCCATGACNAACAGACGTTATGCAAAGTTTTGGTGCCATCGGAGTTGGTTTCGTCTGTGTATGACATCCAGACGCTATTTTTGGCCCTTTTCTCGCCCGAAATCGAGCTAGGAAAAGAAGAAAAAGCGAAAAAAAAAGTAGGACCAAAATAGATCGATAGAACAGAAGCTCGATCTCATAACAACAACGCGCCGTACAGGCCTCTGCACCATCAGACTAAATCATCATTTCTGTTTGAGAAAACAAGATCTTAGATTGATTGTAGGCCATGACGGCAGCCACCACGTGGGCAGAAAAATGACAAAATTCTACATCATCTGGGGCCGAATGTTGTTAGAACGAAGTTCATCACCAAATTGAGTAAACTTGAGCTTAAATGAAAGATGAGCTCCATAGCAACACACACAAAAAAATAGAACAGCTTCCCGCGGGGTGAGCGGCAAGATGTGGTTTTTGAAATAAATGTCCCTTATTACGGCGTGTCCCTTAATACCCCATTTTGCTCTAATGGTGGTCGAGTAGATCATGTTGTGCGGGTTCGAGAACCCTCTCTCCGCGCAAGGGGGATGATCGCACCATGTTGTGTTAAAATGGTCACGCATCCTCGAGGCAGTTACACAGCAGTGCTTACAACTGTCTCAGGAAGTGAAAGCACCAGAAAATAAATTAAGTCCTACACAGCTGTCATCCGTACGCAAGGAAGTAAGCACAAGATGCCGAAAACCCTTAGCAGGATGCAGCGCACCCTTCATGCGACTCGCCGAATATCTCACGGCGCTTCGCGCTTGGTGATGTGAGAGCCTGGTCCGGTGAGAACCCGGCGTGCTCCGTCCCGGCTTTGTAGGGATGCGAGGTCAATGGTCTAACGACTACGGCATGCACGACTATGAGTATGAGTACACCCCCCGCCCCCCAATCCACGCATAGGCTAGACGAACAGATGCCCCCGTCCCCTCAGCGCACGAAAATTCGGACGTGCCTCACTCAACCAACAGCAGCAGGGACGCCACAGGTACGACAGGCAATTACTCTTGGAAGGGGTTTGACCAACAGACTATTCGAAAAAAAGGGTCGACAAACGATCGCAATTTGATACTTCCTTCGAAGTATTGAAGACAGCAGCAGTTGCAGCAGCATGAAAGCTTCGTTTTCTGTCCCAAACGAAGAGGTCATAGTGATTTTGATCATCCGTGTGAAGCAACGCCCCGCTACTTGTAAGTCCACTCGCACTTGGAGTGCGCACACTGCTGTAGGGTAGTACCACCCACAGCGGGCGAGACGCGGGGAAACAGCGGAGAGAACCAGCGCCCGCCCGAAACATCGGCAGCAAAGGAGTATTGTATCGTAGTTTCGCCCTTCCGTCTCTCTGCTGTGGAGTACTAGCTAGGTCAGCTAGGTACACCGTTGATGATTTGACGCGTGCATGTCAGGCCGGGGTCATACAGGAGGGAAGGTGACACACACACGCAGCCGCAGAAGCTTCATTGTTTGTTTATTTTATGGCGCAAATCCAATGTTTGCTTATTCATCCTTTCCTCGTCCCCCGCTGCTGCGGTGGTCGCCCTCCTTCCCTCCTCCTTTCGCTTTTATCGCGAGAAGGCTCCGCCGTCCCTGTCCATCGCTGGCTGTCTGTTCAGTTCAATTGCGAATCGTGCAGGAATGCTGCTGTGTTATATTTTTTTGGTGGGGGGGGGCATCACTTTTTTCAGGACTTTCACACACACAGCACTTGGTTGTAGCAGTTCGAATCCGTGGTCCTCCAGAGGACAAAAGGGTTTCTCTCCCTGAAACCGCCCGCCCACCCCTCGTGCGGTACTAGCCGCCTTCGATTCTGTATAAAGCGTGTATACTCGCGACTGTATCATACCAACGATGCAGCAAGGACTTTTTTTTTTTTACCCACGGCGCCACCGCCGTGTGCAGGCGACATGTGCCCCCTCCCCCCGCCCTTGGCCCGGTTGCCACCGGAGATCTCACTAACACCCCTATGCATTTGCATGTGTACCCGCTCGCCCCATTTGTCTGGCCCGGCGGGGATGAACATGGCACGGGGTGGTCTTCTGAAGGTTATCGCGGGAAGCGGGAAACGGACGTCCAAAAAAAAAAAGCCGTGGCGGCGGAAGCACGGAGTGTGCCTGCTCAAGAGGGCTTCACACTTTCCAGAGAGGCGGAGGCTTTCTTCAATTATTCGCTTCGAGAGGGCTAAGAGAACACGTCGAAGGGCGCGAGAACTATCGCACAAAAAAAAAAGGCTCCTCCATAAAACAGTTGATTTTTGCGGGGAAAGGGCGTGTATATTTCTTCTACGCTTGCTAGGTGACCCTTTTGTTTTGGTGGCCCTCTAGCCGGAGCGCAATGGATCAGACAACTAGCGTGAACTCGATGCCGCCGGCGCCCATCTTCGGCGTCACCCCGGGCGGGGACGGCAACGGCGGCATGGGCAACAGTAAGTTCATCAACATCGACGAGATCTTCGCCGACTGCTTCATGGACGGCGACAGCGACCTTCTCGGCTTGGGCGGGACCGGGGCCCAGGGGGAAGCCGCAGAAGGGCAGGGCGCTGATAGCATGGGGGGTGGCGGCGGCGGCGGCGGCGGCGGCGGCAGCAGGGCGGGAGGAGGAGGAGAGGAGTTGAGTTTGAATTTGAATCCAAACGCAGCGATTTCTGCCTCCGGTGGACTCCACGCGGCTACCTTCGGGTTGGGTACCCCGGCGATGATGCAGCCACAGCAGCAGCAAGCACTAACCCCAAGCCCCCTCGAGGGCATGTCAATGTTCTTGGACAGAACCGCCGCGACAGGCGACGGGCTTGCCGGCGCTGGCGCCGGCTCCGGCGTCGGCGGCATCACCGCGGGAGCACCTGCAGCAGGCGTAGCACCGGGGCGACGGGGCGCGGCTGCCGGTAGAGGAGCGGTGCGGATCCCGCATGGTTCGGCGGGGGGGAAGGTGAAGGGGAAGGCGGCGACAGCGGCGGCGGCAACGGCGGCAGCGGCGGCGGTGGAAGCGGCGGCAGCGGCGGCGGCGGAAGCGGCGGCTGCGGCATCCCCTGCGACGGGGGGAAGAGGGAGAGGGAGAGGGAGAGGGAAGGGGGGGGGGGGGCACTCCGGGCGAGGCGGGGGGTCCGGCACGGGGGGGAGAGCGGGGAGGGGGGCGAGAGCGACCGCGGCGACGGCGGCGAGCGTGCAGCAGCAGCAGGCGGCCGCGGCGGGGGCGATGTCGGGGATGGACGAGGACGACGACGAGGACGAGGACGACGGCAGGGCCNGGGGGGCACTCCGGGCGAGGCGTGGGGTCCGGCACGGTGGGGAGAGCGGGGAGGGGGGCGAGAGCGACCGCGGCGACGGCGGCGAGCGTGCAGCAGCAGCAGGCGGCCGCGGCGGGGGCGATGTCGGGGATGGACGAGGACGACGACGAGGACGAGGACGACGGCAGGGCCGGGGGAAAGCAAGGCTCCGCTAGCGGGAAGCGGCCCCGGCAGGGAGGGCGGAATATGACGGAGCAGCAAAGACTTGATCGGAGGTGTGTAAGCACCCAAGTTGTTTTTTTCGCCTGCACGCGATAGATGGGACGAACACACCAAGACACACACACACACACAGACGTGGTGAGCGTCTTGCTTTTGTGCTCACGGGTAGTTCGTTTTTTTTTTGTCTCTTGCCAAAAGCGGAGAGTTTGGTAGGTAGGCCAGGACGACTGCTGCTCCGGAATGGCTGGAGCTGCGGGGTGTTTCGCGTGGGTTGAGTCGGGCGTGTGGTGGACGAGGTTGGTCCTGCCTGATCGTTCTGCCCCTTCTCGCTGCAGGCACTGCCTGTGCCTCACGTTTACTGTCGCACGATGGTAGCGATTTCTGACAAGTACTTCTCTTTCCGGTTCTCGCTCGTGAGTCGTCTTGCTTTAGAAAACCAAGCAGTACAGGACGTACACAGGACATGACAGAACTACCCAAATAATGGACTTATCTCGATGGAATATTTGGCCGTCTTGCTTGTTGCCACGGCCTTCAAAACTACTTGAAACGAGCCATCTCTCTTCGGGTAAGTGGACACCCCGGCCTCTTGCTAGAACACCAACTGGTGGTCGTTTTTGTTCTGCGTGTTCGAGCACGCTATTGCGCTCTTGTTCTCTGTCGCTCCTCCTAGCTGTCATGTTGTGCCACAGCTTGATTACGACGGACGATTGAGGTTCTGAGACGAGCTACGTGTTGATAGGCACGTCGACGTGGTAGACACCGTCATCAACATCTATTAGAGAGAGGGTAGCAGCAGCAGCAGCGGCTGCAGCATGACAACACTGCTTGCTGTATGCACCGACCCTTCGGCCTCTCTCTCGGCTCCCATGCGGTCCCTACGACCTGCGGAGCACCCGGCAGATCTCTACCAACTCGCTGGCTGCCGTTGTGGAACGCTCTCTCTCGCGCACGTGTTGTTTTTCTCTTAGCTTTTTATTATGTTGTCGGGATGCGGATGTGCGTCCACGCTTGGACTCGTAGGAGACCCGCAGAGAAGGGCGATGGCCGGAAGTAGTCGTCACCTTGCCTCTACTGCATAGTCCTTTTCTCCTTCGCTCAGGTCATGCTGCTGTACCTGTTGCCTCTCTCTACCTGCGTATCTCTCCTGTGTGCCCCTTATTGTCTCTTCCAAAGGCACCAACTGCTGTGTGCACGGTACCTCATTACACCCCTATCCCTCCCTACAACAACAACAACAACAACAACAACAACAACAACAACAACAACCGCTTTTCCCGACAGAGAGCGCAACCGGGAGCACGCAAAACGGTCGCGCGTTCGCAAGAAGTTCCTGCTGGAGTCGCTGCAGAAGAGCGTGACGTCACTACAGGAGGAGAACGAGAAGCTCAGGGGGGCGATCCGCTCCAACCTGGGTCCGGAAGAGGCAAACGAGCTCCTCGCTGAGACCGAGACGCCCACGACCCTTATCACCAGTAGACCGGGAGATGCCACGAAGGTGTTGATTAACTTTTTGTCGTTGCTGCTGTTCCTTTGTGCTTTGCGCGGATTTTTTTTCGTGTAACCCACACACACACACACACGGACAGAATTGACTCTCTCTCTCTCTCGCGTGCTCATTCTGTTGTATATTTTTTGTGTCCGCCGAGAGTGACCAGGAGCAAGGAAATGCCTCCGCCGCTGTGTTTGCAGTGTTGTAGTACACGGGGTATGGTTTCAGTGGTCGTTTTGAGTGCCGGGGAGGTGGGTGAATGGCATGTGTGGCATGGGCATATGCGCTCCCTCTTCCTATCGCTTGCTGGGTGGATGGCGGCCAGCGAGGCCACTCGCTCCACTTTTATATGTATATTCAGTGGCAGTGGTGCTCCAACCATGAGTGGGGTTATACGCGCGCAGGTGCTCTTTTCTCTCTGCCTGCTGCGTTGTTGTTATTGGCGACAACGTCCACGTGAAGGTCAGGCATTCGCGTATGCCTGGTGGTGTAGTGCTGACGACGTTGTTGCTACTGTATGTCTTCAGGGGCAAAGCCACCACTGCTTCGGTAATCAACCAGACGACAACTTTTGGATCTGCCTACTATTTAGGCAAACCGGCCTTCTGTTGTTCACCAACCAATCATCGTCATCAGTCGCGTGCGCATACACCGTTTTTGTTTTTTTTTTTCATGCGGGATTAGTTTTTGCACCCACCCAAAGACCGCCCTAAAATAACAACGAATTTTGTTTGTCTTGGCTCCCAGGTTCTGGACGACCCGGACTACTCGTTGGTGAAGGCGCTGCAGACGGCGCAGCAGAACTTCGTTATCACCGACCCCACCTTGCCGGACAACCCGATCGTCTTTGCGAGCCAGGGTTTCCTAGAGTTGACGGGATATACGCTGGACCAGGTGGGTTGTAGGGAAAACGGGGGGAAGACAAGTAATTGTTTGTGGTGGCGTTGCCATGAGGAGGAAGTGTAGGACGTATTTTTTTTGGGGGGGGAGCGCTTGAGGTGGAGAGTCGGCGCTTGCATTCATGCCCCTTCAGTAGTTTTGTTTGGATGCTGGCACACACATGCGGTTGTTGTCGCTTTCGTTGGAACCCCTAAATGTGGTTTGTCTTTGTCTGTCCATCGCGCACGCACGCAACGAATGTTGGTGTTCGCGTACACCAACCAGCACCCCGGAAGAAGTTGCTTCTTTTCTTCTCTTTTCTACCACTGCTGCTGCTGCTCCTCTACGCCCGTACTAACACCACGTATTGCACCCACACGGCGGTCGGTCCGCAGGTGCTGAATAGAAACTGCCGGTTCTTGCAGGGACCGGACACTGACCCTAAGGCCGTGGAGAAGATCAGAAAGGCGAGTGCGTGTGCAAGTGGGAGTGCGCGCGTACGGTCGCTCTGTCTTGCCGCTGGTGCATGTATTTTTGCCGCAGCCCGCCACCGCGGCCGAAAGGCAGGCTACGAGACGAGCCACCGACACCACCGCCACGCAAGTGTCGGCTGCGTCCATTAAACAATAATGTGATTTCCTATTTCCTATGCATAACAAAAAGTTCTATTTTAACAACGCGTGGTCGTCGTCTGGCATTGCTCTCCCCCCCAAGCCGGTCATTGCTTGTTTCGCCCGCAATTCCTTTGCTGTTCGCACACCCCTGACGCTAACCTCAGTCGTGATACTTAACTGTAACTGCTGATCTTCGAACTTCTCCCCTTCCGTGTTGCTGCCCCCCCCCCCCCCCCCCCCCCCCCCCCCCCCCCCCCCCCCCCCC